GGCTCTTTTGATATCCTGGGTCTACTTCATCCTCAGTCTTTATCCCTTCCAGCTCTCCAGTCCTACACCTTGAGACAGGTTCTAGGACACCAACCTCTACAACTAAGCAAATGAAGCTTTAAACAAAGCAGAAGCAGGTCTTCCCTATTCTCAAGAGAGCACCCCAAGAATGAGGCCAGGAAATAACAGTCACATCTTTCTTTGGTCACAGAACAGGACATGGCTCACTAGCTCACCCACAGGTTTTGGGGATGGGAGCTGTGGCACCAGAGGACTGTTCTGAGATCACTGCCTTGTAGAAGGAGCTGTCAGTATTTCTAGGAGGGGAATCTACAACAAAAGTGAAAGGTTTCAAAGTACCTAGATGGAAAGGTTGAGTTCAAAAGATTCCCTTTTCTCTCTTTAGTATTACTGATTGTCTCAGACAACCATTTACTTGGCAATAGAGCCACTGTGGAGCCTTTTTCTGACACAGGTCTTTCTTTGCGCATAATACAGGGTGCCAGTGTCCCTTACCCAAGCATAACTGAAGCCCTTGCCTCTCGTACTTACAGATGAGCTTTCCCCACACCCCTTAATTTCCCACCATCTCCCACTTTTCTCTTTCTAATCAGTTTTCTTCAAGTACAAGTTACAATGCTTCCTCCTCCCTTTTGCTGGAGCACTGCAATTCAGGTAGCAAGGATGGGGGAAGACAAATGCACCAATTCTTTAAAATAAAGGTCACCAGAAAGGGGAAATGACAAAACAAGACATTTTTCTCTATTCAAACTCCTGCAAGCAATTGAAATACTTTTTTTTTTTTTAATGAAAGATTGCAAACAGTTGGCTTTTGATAGAAACAGTGATAAAAAACCTTCAATCATATTTCAAGTAAGTGCAGAATTTATCTTCCCTCAAGCTTTTTTTATTTTAGAAGCAGTTCCTTCTCCAAAACATTGCCAGGAAATGACATTTCACCAGCAGTGAAATCACCAGTATGGCACTCCAGCAAACCACAGGAATATTTTTCAAGTTCACAGCAAGGTGAACAGAACAAGATCAAGGTATTAAAAAAAAAAATGACGAAGGTCTGGCACAGGAGACAGTAAGCTTTCTCTCTTGCTATCTGCTTTGCTGGTTCCCAGAGAGCCCGGTATGGCTTTAAAAACCTTATGCAGCCTGCTGGAGCCACCCCAGTGGCATCCAGCCATGGAAATGTGCTTGGAAAAAAAACCCTCTCTATTTCTTCCTGGATTCTTCTGACATAAGTGAGACTGCTCCTTGTCAGAAACCATCCTATCAGCTGATATAATCTTGCCATTCAGAAGTTTGGCAAGGAGGCCTCAGCCCTTGCCATTATTTCCCTCTATGGAAATAAAGGTTTCCACACTTTCTGTGCAAGATGAAATTTCAGGTGAGTTAAAAAACATAGACCATATTTTTGACTATAGCATGAGTAAAACTGTGGCTGAGTTTGATTTCCTTTTCTAACTCTGTGTATACAGAACTTCACTGTCAGAAGTGTTTATATTGTACTGTGGGAGTTTCTTCATCCATCAAAGAACTTTCAATAGGACCTTCCGTGACAAAATGATTTGCAATCCTTACCCTGACAAACACTCTGTGCTTCAGAGAACTTAACTTCTGTCCAGTAGTAAAATTACTGTGAGAATTAACTTGTTTCTGTTCTTGCTGTGGTACTCTGGCATCTTTCTCAGAGTGTAATCTCCCTTCCCATTTGCTCTGAGACTGTGCCTGTCTGCAGTCAGGCCCATCTGCCACTCACATGTCCTTTACAACCTCCTTAACGCAACACATTCCAGCAGAAGAGGTCGTTCAGATCAAACCCCAGATGTGGGCTCATCTGGTGCTCACCATCTGCAACAACAGACCACCCCACAGTGCAATCTTTTCTACCTGCTCGGGCTGCTCTAGAAAATACCTAATGATGACGCTCAAAGACAGACCAACTGCAAGGCAAAAGCATTAGATCTCTGCATCAAAATCTCTGACTTTTAACTTCATGACTAACTCAGCAGCAAGGCAATGTCAGACTCTAGACCCTTCTGCATAGTCACTACAGGGATATCAAAACCAACGTAACCTATGAACATACAAGTTCTATGAAACACATGCATCCTTTTAACCTTCTGCGTGTCAGTGACAATACAATAATGAAGATGGAGGATGGGGGATTTATTATACTCAAACATCGCACTTGGAGTATTGATGTGCTGAAAAGGACCATATATAAAAAGCATAACATTAAGGTCCCCCATCAATCAAATTGTGTATTTTCTGTCTCACCTTATGCAATTACCAAGTGTCAGAAAATAACTTTTCCTACCAACTTAAAGGGGTTTTTTGCCAATTGACTGCTGAATTATATTTTAAAACATTCATCTCTGAATAAATAATCAGAGCTTTTAGTCTGAAAAAGATATAGATACAAAATGTCAGCATTTGGAAATACCAAGAAAAAGGTAACCTTTCAACCTTAAATATCAGCCTGACTCTCTCTTTCTTCCTGTCCTCTCCCAGAGAAAAACTCCCATTAATTTCAAAGGAAGTTTCACCAGATAAGGCCATGTGTTTTGACCCTTACCACTTTCAGCATTAAAAATCATGGACTCTATTGTTGCAGCAAATAAGAGCCTAATAAAATACTTGTATTATTTTTTTGATAATTACTGATGTTCTACGCAGGTGGTAAAGCTTGGGGGCATGCCTGTAGGACACTAATAGGAATGTTTTTTTTTCCAAGTGTCATATTTATCAGTGCACTAGAAAAAAACAAGCCTGTATTATGAAGTTTCATGCTGGCTCTCATTATGCCATCTCACAAGCTTGTCCTTTGATTTATTATAAAGATTAAATATATTTTCTCAGTGAGATCAGAGGTATTAGACAAGAGGTCATGGAAATGCTGACAGAAAAATGTTAGTTTTGTGCGTGTAAAATCTTTTGTACGACACATCCAAGGTTCAACCAATGCTGCTTAACTGCTGGGGGGATGCTGGCAGATTCCTGTTCCCTGGGGTTGGGGATGATGGAAACTGTGGGGTCCTAGCTCTCACACAGTCCAGAAGTCAATCTCTACCCCTGCCTTCTGCAGGGTGCTTAGCAAGTTTCACATCCTTGTCGATTTTGCTGCAGTTAGTAGCAGGGGAGCTGACAGGAATACCAATTTTGCAGAGCAGCTGCAGGATACTGTTAACTTCCTAGAAATGGAAATTTTTCTAATAAAAAAAAGAAAGGTTTTGGATTCAACTGAGATCAAATCCAGTACTGCAATTGACAAATGTTCCTGCAGACCCAGCTTTTAAATTAGTTTTTCAAACACTGAAGTCCCTCTTACTAGGCTAGGAGATAGGCCGGCGTGTCTGGTAGAGCTTACTATTTCTCTGAGAAAATTCATGCTTTAACTCTGGTTTTAATCACTATGTACTTTCCAAATATTTTGGTAATGGGGCAAATCTACGTAACAATTCTTGGGATGCCCAGAGTAGACTATATAGGCACATTCAATCCGTCTTCAAACTAATCAGCCTAACCACAGCTCAGCCTCACCTCCTGGAGCTGGATAAACCATAAAATAAATATTAGGCAAGCTTTGGCAACCTGTGGTACCTCCTGAATAGCCATGGTTTTTCTACTAGTTGTAACCAACTAATCCAGCATTTTGAAACTAGATTCAAAGTAAATGTCACCACAGTGTCCACATATCCCTGAGAACTATGTGGTTTTCATGGAAATCCTGCTACACTGCACTATGGTTATGACTGAGACAGAACGTGAAAGACAAGCCTTTTGTTTTGCAGAAACATGTCATTTTTGGTGACAATAGCTTCTCAGCTGTCAAGTCAAAAAATACTATTATCACTCAGAGTAATACAGTCATCTATCACAGTTCACTAGTTTTTGGCTGATGAATCAGAAAGCAGCCTAAACAGCACACAGTAAAAGAACACCTTTAGATATAAACCTTAAAAACTCTTATTTTGCATTTAACAGCGTGCAAGAATTCGCACTTAGTTAAAAGAGACTTCTCGCCCGATTAAGAGCCATTTTCAGGAGTACAGGCTTTGGGGTGCCAGGAGGTACTGCCAAGTCCTGCCTGAAAGCTTCCACTGTGCAATACACAGGGCACAGAGCAATTGGGCTGTAACTCAAGCCTCATCTGGCACTTGAAAGAGCAAGACACTTACTGCTTTCTTTCTAGTCTTAGTGAGAACAATAAGAAATCAGGAAAACAAGCCATGTTTTCTCACAGACAATACGGGCTCAAGACTTGCAAAACCACATGTAGTAATTATCAGTCACATGAAAGAACAAAGAAAAGAAACTTTCCAAATAGATTACAAAGCTTTCACAACAGGCACCAGTGCCCAGATCTGGGGTTCTTGCTTAGACCAATTTACAGTATAAAACCACATTTTTGCAGTTTTCTATATTTTTTTTTTAATTAAAAAGGGTCTTGCACAAGGAGTTTTATAAAGTGATGGTAGAAAGAAGGGTGTGGCAAGAACTGAAATTTATTTTTCTCAGAAAACAAGTGACACATCTTTCCTGCCCAGTGGAACAAATAATTTCTGGTTACAAAAGTTACTCAATACAGTGTCAACTTCTTTGTCATGTATTTTTCTCGCTCCTCTATTAGCACCCACAGGAGTTGGAATGTGGCTAAATCGACTACTAGCATTATCTTTTCATACAGCTATTTTCTTTATTCATAATCAGCTAAATCAGTGCTACAAGAGCTCTAGCTCTAGTAGCAGAACCTGAACGTACAGCTTTGGTGAGCTGCTGCTATAATTGTAGTGCACCCAAGGTGTTGCTCGGGGTTTTCTAAAAGAAATAGTTTGTAACAAAGTTAAAATTCTCTTAGAATCTGATAAATCTCTCCAAGACAAGTTTCAACAGTTTAAAAATGTATAAATCGAGGCTGTATTACAAATTTTTGATCTTGTTGAGCAAGAAGTTCCAGATTAACAAACCGACACCAACGCAACTATTACCTGCTGAAGTGTGCTTAAATTTTTCACTCTTCTTCTTCCTCCATTTCCATGGCTTAAAAAGTCTCCCGAGAGTGGCAAATTTGCTTCTTCTTCTGATCGGAGGCGTGTGAGTCCCAGGTACCAGAGAATCTGAACGCATTGCAGCCAGTCTTTCCACTTCCTCAGCTGTAGTATCAGCAAGAAAAAGAGAAAAAAAAAAAAAAAAAGAAAGGGGGAAAATGAAATAATTGCTTTAATAAATGATCAGAGAACCACACAAATGGCTAAAGTTTTCCAGGGTCACAGAGGTCAGTAACAAAGGGAAAAAATTGTAGTCCTTATTATTTTAACATTTTCTTTTATTTCAGTGGAATCCCCAGTCTATTTCAAAGAACAGAATTAACAATCAGATTCATCAGGAATATGGATTATTACAAATCTTTAACTAATTGTCCTACGTTGTTCTGGACAGCTTGCAGTTCATCCATCAGCCATTCCTGGGGAAGTGTGACAGAGACTGAGGAAGAGAAAGCTCAAACAAAAACATGCAATACTGCTTAAAAAAATTACAAGGCTGTTTGTTTGTTTTGTTTTTTTTTTTTTTTCTTTGCAATGGGAAGAGCCATTTCTGTCAACTAATATTTATCATGAGCAAAGACCCTCATAAGAAAAGACCCTGATAAGTAAAGACCCTTTGGTATCATTACTGTGTCCAATGAAACTAGCTTGGGTTATTAAGGAGGCTGCATTAGGAACTTCCTAGTGAGAGAAAGGGTGCTAAAAATTCTCAGAATCATAGAATTGTTTAGGATGAAAAAGACCTCTAAGATCATTGAGTCCAACCGTTAACCCAGCACTGGCAAGTCAACTCACATGCCACATCTAGACATCTTTTAAATCCCTTCAGAGATGGTGACTCCATCACTTCCCTGGAATTCTGTTCCAATGCTTTACAACCCTTTCCACAAAGACATTTGTCCTAATATCCAATCTAAAGTTCCCCTGGTGCCACTTGAGGCCATTTCCTATGGTCCTGTCACTTGTTAACCGGCAGAAGAGATCAACCCCCACCTGGCTACAACCTCCTTTCTCCTCTCACATGTGCAAGGAAAAATTTATGCTGACAGCTTTGGGAAATAACATCCCTGTGATTAGAGGCACAGGGAGAGGTAAGACAGGACTGCAAAGACAACGCGACAGCGGGAAGGTATCAGTAGCCTATGAGAGAGAGTCTCTCTGTGCCACAGCTGTCAGGGATGCAATAAGCTCTCCCAGCCCTGAGCTAAAGCATGCATGCTCTCCTCATAAAAAAAGCATCTATGTAATTCAATCAACATAAAGGAGGTGGTTTTGTGTGTGAGTTGTTGCTGTGTTTTTTTTTTTTTTTTTTTAATTATTATTATTTTTTTTTATTTTATTTTTGAAGTTGTTATTAGTGTTTGGTTTCGGGATTTTTTTAAGGGATACCATTTCCCAGGCTTGTGTTGTAACGTAACGCTGCCAATAAAACTGATTTAAGTGGTTTGCACACACAGATTCATTAAGATGGGACGCAGATTGTCACCTCTCCCGCGCTGAAGAGAACAGCCCAGCGTTTCTATTCGGCTCTAGTATATTAAGTATTAATCTCAGCCGTGAACACAGGCTCAGGAACCTCAGCAAGAACACTGCTTTGAAGGGGTGAGCACACCCACTCCACACTGACAGAATCACCAGAGATTTTGGCTGGAAAATTCTTATGTATCTCAATGGAAATTTTTCTGAGGCTTTAACTGAGCCAAATTTAGGTTGGTTTTCATGGGAACAGCCAAAGACGCATTTCTAACATGAAGGAGGTTTCATTATCAGAACTCCAACTGAAATACTATTTGAGTCCCTCAGGTTTTTGTAAGAAGGTTGGTTATTTTGTTATTGCTCTTTTGTTTGTTCTGAACATTGACAACTCAACCCTTTTTCCTGTAAAATATCACTGCCAGATACAGCTGCCTGTAACTTTCCAGATTAAAAAAAAAAGCTAGCCAGCAAGATGGAGAGAGTCCAGCTGTTTCGGTGGAAATGGTTAAAAACTTCCATTCTTTGGGGTAATGGAGAGACAGACATTTCTGAGAACATCTTTTTCCAATTTAAAGCAGAGGGAATAAAAGATAATCCGTCCAAAGCATTTCATTCCGTTTCAGCTCTTTGTGCCAGACTGCCTACAGAAATACCTTCTTATCCAAAGAACCCATTACAAAGTTCTGTCCTATACAGGGGGTGGGACATGCTGCACTGAGGCTGGGAATTGCCTGGTTATGCTGAACAAGCCATGACAGTAAAAAGAAAAGGAAATCAGAAATTTTCTTATGCTTTCTGATTTCACTGGAACCTTCTGGGTTTTGAAGACCAGCGCAGGGTACAGACCCCTGCCCTCTGTGTGCAGACCCAAAGGGACCATGTTTTTTCCTCTTCTTCCAGTCTTAAGGTGCCTCTAGTTAAACCATGTAAGATGCCACTGTGTTCCACTGCTGTGATTTTTCAGAGATGCTGCCAAAAGCAAAAGCTGGTATTGTCTTTGCTGCCTTGGGGGATACAGAAGTGGCCCACTGAGCAAACTGCACCACTGCTGCTCAATTAGGGTTCCTGCTAATAAACCCACAGCTGAAACATATTGAAAATCCTCGTTGCTCACCCTCTCACCTTTTCCCCATCACTGAGCCAAGATTTCTGCTCCCCAGGTGCCTTAGTTACTAAATCTCAGAGCTGCAACAACTCCTCTTCGATAGCTGGTCCTAACTGGTACTGCTAAGGCCATTCCCCGGAGAACTGACATACCTTAAAGATTCTCTCCTTTGCCAACATACAGTCCCCTCTGTTCCACACCAGCTGTGTTCTCACTGCCCCCAGGGAAGCTTTTCCCACTCCTGGTAAATGAGTATGGATTCGCAGTCAGGCAAAACTAACACTGGAGTCAAAAAGAATTTACCCAAAGGGTGGGTTCATTGAAAGCCAAACACAGTGTCAAAAACATTTCCATATTTTGACTGTTCTTCCCTGAATTTCAGCATTGTCTCTCACACATCTGTGCCCTCGAAGTCCTGCAGTACTTGCTATCAGTCATGAACACGGCCCTTCTCCTTCATCCTCTCCAAACACACACAGACAGCTCCAAGCTAATGCAAGTAAGAGCTCTTTTCCCCCCTTGTTCACATTTCTCAGAAGGACATGTTTTTTTTTTTTTTATGAGAAATACTCTCAAGAGCACTGCTAATTCAAAGCATAATAATCATTGGCTAGGAATAAACCACATTAGCATAAAGCCATGACAGTTTTAATACAGTAAGAATAAAAGCAGACCATGATGCAAGAAGTAAATGCCAGATTTCTGTGCTCTTCTTTGCTGCTGCATCTTTTGCTTGAGTTGGCTGGGTTTCTGTGCCTTTTTGGCTCCTAATGACTATTGACTGGCTGTGGGCTGCGACACCCACTGCTGACAGCAGGCTCCGTAGGCTGGTTTCACACCTTTGCTGTTCCCAAAAAAGCTGGTACTTGCAGGAATGGAAAGTAACCCAAGCCTTGCACTCCTTTTCTATTTTTTTTTCTTTTTCCTTCAAAGAAGAGGCCCAGCCTGATTAGTCTGCTGAACTGGGAGAAGGAACTGCCATGAGCATAAGTGCCTATAGTCACACAGCTGAGATCTCATCATGAAGCCACCTGACGTTTACAAGTCACAGTTGCTGCTGCTACTTGGTGCTTTTGGGGACTTGTTCCGATTTTTTTCCAGGATCTTAGAGATCTTGTTGAGACACAGAGAAATACTGAGTCCTGAACTTAGGGCAAGAGGGTGATGCACTCACCTCCCACTTTCTTCTGTCCAAGCTGTCATTCTGTACTAGCAATGGGGAAACTAGACCTGAGAGTTTTTCACAGGCTGTTTGGCTGTGAGACAGCTCTCAAGATTTTACTGTAGTTATTTTTGAAGTTCATACAGACTTCATATAGGGCTTAAGCAAGACTTAGGGTTTTAATGAAAAGAAGCCATCACAAATCAAATGCAAAAGCATCCAAGTAATCTAAAAGAAATTTTACAAACATGTTTCAAACATGCTACAAAGGAAAATAGAGACCAGGCCATTTTGGGCCTGTTCTGTATGTTCTTATGATTTTTCCACATCTTTCAGAAGGGTGTTGATTTCCAGGCAGTCCAGTAAGAGACAACATTGGGGTCACCCTTTTATATTTAAGAAGCATTGCAAGCAGATCAAAGGCCCTCCCAAAGACAACATAAGTTATTAAGTTTTCCTGGAGAACGACAGCCAGTTTTCTCTTTCCCACCACTGGGAATCATTTCATCTATTCATGTTGCTGATACATGATATATCAAATTTCCATTTTAGAAAAAACCTGCTCTTACTGCATTTGGGTACACAGAGCAATTTCATTGCTGAAGGCTGAAGTCCACCCATATCTTTCCTTAACACTTACTATTCAGACACATGATTTTCGTAATAGGCAGTTTACTTCACAAAATTAGATTTTAATCCTTCCTAGGAAGCACCACTGGCTGCTTTGCGCTTTCTGTGATGTTTGCACAAATCTATAGTAACAGGCTGAAAATTATCTTTGCCCTAGATGCAATTAACTAAATGTGCCATTTTATTTAATGACGAAAACTTTATATAAATAAAAAAAATCAAACAGAATTCTCCTAATTGTCAATCAGCATCCCACCAGTCTTTATTCTGCAGACTAGTTTCCAACAAAATCCTGTTGCAAGGTTTCTTTTGAACTCTGCACCCCAAACACCCCTCATTTCAGAGTGCATGGATCTTATTCTAGCAGCTTTGTTCAACACAACATGCAGACTCATCATGTGCCTTCTTGAAATAAGAAACCTGAATAACTACTTCGATTGCTGAGCACTTATGTCTACTTTTTACCTGAATGGGAACACTTTCAATTAAAAAACACCTTGTTTTTCTTTCAGGAAAATGGTTTATTCTCTGCTCTTCTATTATCTTCTGTTCAGTTATTTCCCTTTAATTTCCCTTTGTACCTGGAATTAATTTTCATTAGCCCTGCCTTTACTATTTGAATTGCCCATTTAAACTTTTCCTTACTTCTCAAAGGTCTGTTTCCCAGTGAAAGACAAGGCATGGCACTCAGCAGTCCAAATGCAGTCTTGTCAAACGAGGATGATTACCTCTTTG